CCATCAAGAATTTAAAGAAAGATATATTTTTGTGAGGTTTTTTGACTTCTGAATTTCTAACTTTTTTGTTAGTTTTTTTTTGTCCTTTGTTTTATTAAAAAACATTGTAATATCTCAGAACATGGTGCCATTTTATGTATGGTTCATGATAGTAGATTTAATTTTCCTTTCTTAATGGTACTTAAGTATGACTGCTTTTTATAGACTGAAACTTAGATTTCATAAAATATGGTAAATATTCAAACTATTTTAGGATTTATAGTGGTTACTGTTTTTACAAAATATCATGGGTTATATACAGGTTCCATCTAATCCTAAAATATTGCACTTAAAATTGTATAATAAAATGTGTATACTTTATATGATCAAAGTTAGCTTTCAATAATCCATTTATAGCACTCCTCCTATTTTTGTAGGGAATCATCTGCACCAGAGCACTTCTGCAACATCTCTCACACACACATGTGCATATATATATATATATGCATTATTATATAAACTGCCTTACTTCACACCATACGCATATGTGTGAAGTAAGGCAGTTTAAATATTTTACACTTCAGTATTATGAAATATTTATGCTCAAACTCCCACAAATGGCATGAGTAAGGTCAGCAGAAGCTGTGAAAGACAAATGCCTTACTTACAAGTTCTCTTTGAAAATAAAATGGGAGGATTTGACAACAAAGAAAAGCATGAAATCACCCCTTACTTTTAATATTCAAATATTAAACTTATATGCAAAATACTGATGTATTTTGTTTTCAATTTAGAGGGTCATCTTCCCAATGCACCATAATATAAAAAATAAGTTTTAAAACCACTCATCTTTATATATACATGGATAAGAGCCAGGTATTTTTATTCCTAGCTATTTTTCATGCTAACTACTTGAATCATGTTCTCAAGTTGTTACAAAATATTCTTCTTGACTATTATAATTTCCTTTGATTTATACTTCTAAATATGTACTGGCACAAAAGTTCAAATATAAGACTACAGTAAAAGGTCTATGATGTTTATTTTAGTGCATTTACTGAAAACTATTATCAAAGTTCAATCACTTAGAATGATATATATATTATATATTGTATTGTTCATAATCATACTTACATAAAGTGTATATACAGTTAACAGACAAAAACATAACAAAACGCGCATGTATCTACTAAAAACAGTAAATGATATGACTGTGAAATCCTTGAGTGTGCCTTTAAACTTAATAATAATTGTTTTCCCTATGGGCAAAGGTAGTTTGTTGATAGTCTGGAGTTTGTTGATAATCCCTGTATTTCTTTTTATGATATCAATATATTATTTAATTTTATCTATTTTGACTTTCAAATACAGGATATGTATACTCTTTATTATCTTCATGACATTACATTCCCTCAGGTCAACAGAGGAGTTCATCCTCTCTCACCATTCTAAAATATTCCATCATCTGACTAATATCACATTTCTCTATTTACCTACTAGTAATGATGATTTCAGTAGCTGTCATTTTTTTCTTTTGTTAAAATGTATTGCTCAGAATAGTCCCATCCATGTTTATCAATATACATTGTAAAAAGTTCCAAGGAAGCCAGGAATATTGTATGCTTTTATAGCTTTTTTAGGTAAGTCATGAACATGTAGATATATGAATTTATATTTGTTTTAAAAAAGAATTTAATAGGAGTTGAAGAATTAAGGATTAATGTTGTTTTCCTAATACTACTTTCAGCTGAACACTTTCATACTTACTTGTCTTATTATATTTCTACCTATTGACCACCTCTCAGAAGTATGCATCCTCATTTAGGTAAAAACAAATTTCCTCTGAGGGCAGTGGGTATTTGATGCAGTGGCTATTGGAACATTAGCATCACATATCACAGTGCCTACATTCAAGTCCTGATTCTCACTCCAGCTTCCTGCTAATGTATACTCTGAGAGGCAACAGATGATAGGTCAAATACTTGGGTCATGACACCTTGTGTGAGACCTTGGTTGACTTCCTACCTCTCTCCCCCGAGGTATGTGCTGAATGGACCAGCCGAGGGGAGGCCTCTCTCTTAAAAAGAAAGAAATCTGCAAATTTGTGAATAGCAAGTAGTCTTAGGGTAAATATCTTTGTAAGATGTCCTTGAAAGGACATTTAAGTTACAAAAAATTTCATACCAACATTTCTCTGGAAATCATTCTTTAATTTCCCATAATAGTCTACCTGGAATATTGATTTTTAAATACTTTAATATAGTCGTTATGGTGTTGCAATCAGGCTTTCATTATGAATTATAAATAAAATTTTCTAGGATTTGTCTATTTTTATATTACAGCTACCAGGAAAATACAATGTTGTCATTTGATGAAATCAACCAGTATAAAAGATAATTAACTTTATGCTACATTTTCTTAATTTAAATCAGAAATGAAATCACAACAAATATGTAGTTTATCCTTACTTAATCTGTGGCTTTTAATGTCTAAATTATAGCTGGTCATATTTTAATGGCCAATCAACACATACAAAAGATTTATACTCACAAATATTTACTAAAATATTTTTTCATAATAGCAAATCTAAAGTTGAGCTACAAATACTTGTATGTGACCTGATAATATTCTTATCTTCTTCTTAAACCCTTTAAAATTATGAAAATTATTCTTAGCTCTGAGTTATGTAAAAAAGATGATAGGCTAGCTTTGGCCCACAAACTACAGTTTGTAAACCTCTGTTCTAGTTCTGAAATTCTCAATCCTAGCTGCAATTGGCATAGACCCTAATCCAGATTAATGAAATCATAAGCCTCATTTCATGTGATCTCCTGGACTTGCTCATATTTTAAAAAATTCTCAGGTAATCACAGTGTTGTAATCATAATGTATTCTAGTAAAATCTTTTTTATTTACTATTTTATTTTTCTCTTTTCTCTATTGACTATCAATTAATATCTACTTAAGCTTAATTAGCAGGTGTTACAAAAGTCAGAGTTCTGCAGGTTGCTCAGTTCACCCTCCACTTTGTGAGGTGAAGAATATTCATTTTAGACCTGTAATTAGGTTGGAGTACACATCTTTGTCTAATTTTTCTAGTAAAATACATTAGAGTTCTTATTCTTATCCCTCACCTCTTCTGATATAATGCCAAAACATGAAAAACAGCATTTTCAGAATTTTCTAACCAACACTCCCTACTAACAAAATCTACACACACACAATATGTTGATCTACATCCTATTTTCATTGTTTTATTCCAGGATTTGCAGTCTCCACCTTAGTGGAATAAAACTCCAGCACAGCTCACAGTAGGTGAAAGTTGACCCCTCAATACACCAGGCTCCCTCCCCCCTCCAAAGTCCAGTAGAAAAAAAAATTGTTGATCAAGCAAGGCAAAGAGATGAGAATCTCTTGACTGAATCTTTGTAGTGATCGAGAGGAGTGAAGTCAGAAGAATACACTTATATGGTCTTTGTGTCTGGCTAGATGATTTTAAGGAGGTATTTACAAGGTGGAACTGAGTGGGATTAGGAAGTTTACAAACATAAGCATTTTAGTAAATATCCTAGTCTAAGAGTCTTGAAGAAAGTCTTGATGATCAGCAAATTATTAGGCTTAACAACTAAGTTTAGTTCTTTTCCTAGTCTTCTGAGAACAAGGATTTTTTAGAGCAAATTGCTAACTTGTTTTTGGCTGTTAACAGTAGTGTTTTTGCAGATGGCCAGAAAAGACATGGTGTTGTCAGTTCTCAAGTAAATAGATAGAGGAAACTGCTCTGGGCCCACTTTATAAGCTACTGTTTAGTGGGCTACTGAGAAATTGTTTTGAGTTTACTTAGAACCTAAATTTTTAATTACAGGGCTGATAATGGGGAGGTACAAAGGATATATTGCATTTTTTCTATTTCATAAAGCTCAAGTTCCAAACTCACAATAGATTTCTTTCCCATCTTCTTTCAACACACACGTATTATACAGACATAAAATATTAATATCTGTATGTACCATACAGATATTTATCTCATACTTGTGAGTTATTTCAGGTTCTATAATTAGCTGTCTGATACTGCTTTCAGTGATATGGGGATTTTTCTCTTTTTTTATGTCTATTCATGGATGTTTTATGGAAATTTAGGGAAGCTTTCTTAAAGGTATATCATTTTGAAAAGAAAATTCTCAGCATTTGGGATTGTATTCATATAGATCACTAACAGCCTAGTTTAAGTTTAAGTAGATACCTAAAGACTTTCACACAGACAGTACTTGTCTTATAAATAATCTATTATTCTAAGAGATAACACAGTAACCAGAGTCCAGCAAGAGTAGAGCTGTGAAACAGTAAAGGAAGGTGTGGTTATAGTTTCTGTAAAGAGTTGTGTTGAGAGGAATATCTTTGTGGTAGATAAACATCCAAACCACAATGCCCTGGCAACGAAGAAGCAATGGAAGGTGAATACCTTAATGTCACTCTTCTTTCTACTTTCAGTCATGGTTTCATTAGTTCAAATGAACCACACATCACAGTCATAGCTAATACACTCTATTCCCATCAGGTTCACAAGCTACAGAAAGGACTAAGAAGGATCAAGGGGAAGTTAGATGAGCAAGTGAAACATGCACAGGGCAGCCCTTTTCTGCATGATTACATATTGGCCTGATGCTGTTTGATGCGTTACTTCCTGCAGTTCGGAAGGACTGATGTTATAAACGCCGCAGTAATGGCAGAGTGAACAGATAAAACCACCTTTGCAATATGGCAACAATGCTGAGCCACAGGGTCAAACCTAGAACCACTTGCCTTTGTACTATCTGAGTGAAAAATAATAAGTGCCTGTGCTATTGAAACCACCACTCTGGTAGTAGTAATTCAAAGTATCCTAATTATACCTTGCCTTGTGAGGCAACAACTTCATCCTGATTATGCAGATAAGAAAATTTAGTCATTTAAAGGAATTGGAACTTAAGTTACATAACACTTTGATAATACTGCATTCACAAAAAAGAGATGTTTTTTCTTACTTTGCTAATGTGATGAGCTGCATTTTCTTTATCTGTAAAAGAGAAAAATATATGTAAATTAGACAGGCATTGTTATGTTCTTAAATATGATAACATAATAGAGATATTTCAAAGCAGCAAACTAAATTAACATAGAATTGTTTTTTACTGATGTGTATTTTCATATTTTAAATCCATCTATAGCTATATATTTTCTATAAATCAATAGATAGATCTAAAAAAACACTCTCCTTTTCTACATTTTATCAGGAGCCTTTTTTGTTGCCTTTCCACTGTTTCTTGTCACTTCTGATTTAATGTAAGTTCTTGGAGCTGAGGATTATGATTTCACAGTTTTATATCCCCATAGACTTCTGAATCATAAAACGAGACACATAATAGATAGTTGATAAGTTTTGTTCAATGAACATGACAATATTTTATTTGTTCAAAAAAGCATATACTTTTCTATTATATCCCATCAAGTATAAGATAATGCTTATCTCTAACATTAACTAAAAACACAATAGCAACAAAAAGTAATATGTCCTTCTATAGCTTAGGAGAAATACTTTCACTTGTTATTCTCAGTGAATAAAGCAAACCTATCAGAAATGTGATTTCTGTATTCACTTCAATTGGTTCAGATTTTAGGAAGAGCCAAAAAGCTTGTGATAAAAATAAATCTACTGGGAATCAATAAAACTCCATTTCTACTTTCAGCTTTCTTCTACTTTTTTTGTTTTCTTTCCACTTATTTATACAACTACCTGTGGTCCACAGAACACTGGGAGTGTAGGCCTACTAAAAGAATTCTAAAAATACAACTGGAAAGGCAGCTTGCTTTCTTATTCCTACAATAGTCATTGTTAGATTACATCTTTAACTACAGAATTCTTGGGCTCTGTATAACATAAATCTCAGTGAATGGATCAAACATTTGAACTATATTTACCTTAAAAAAGTAGGTAGAACAACAGACATTTTATGTATTTGACCAATGTTCAACAGAAAGAAGTCAAATAAAATAGAAAGAAGATTTAAATAGCCTTTAACTTTTGGCATAATTTCTGCAAAGGAAGATAACATATACTACCTAAAAGAAATCTGCGTACAATTCATTCATCACATTTTTGCCTCCCATTGGAAAAATCAGGAACAAAAATAAAAATAAAATGTATAAGCCTATGAATAAGGAAAAATTTATCTGCAATGTTTACCTGATTCTAGATAACATAAAAATAGTGACTCCTTAAGTTATGTGAGCAAGGTTACTTACATATAAATGCTTATTCTGTATTTACTATATATAATTAAAGAATTTTAATATTATCAATTTATTTATTTCAGAACAATCTCTGGTTTGGTAAAATGAACCAAAATTGTAGGGAGCAGAAAACTAGGATTTTGCGACAAAGTTAAAAGACTACACTTCTAGGCTTGTTGCAGAGTTTCATTAATTACATAAGCATTTTTGTCTGATATACAATAATCAATGTTGTTGTAGGTGATGTTGCCTAAGTGTCTCTCAGGGGGGCACACCCTCCTGAAATTAGAGGCATGACTACAGTTTCTGATCTCAGCCAAAATATGCCAAGGGACAGGCACACAGGCCCCCAAAAGAATGTGGCAGCAGAGACAGCAGGGGACTACTGAATGTTAATTGGTACCTGAGATGTTTTTGGGAATTTTAAACTTGCAGGAGTATTTGAATGGGTCTGTCATAATATACACCAACATTCTATTCTCTATCTTGGACCACCAGACCAAATTCCTTTTCCCAATCATTAAGTTGATGCATAACCTTGCCTAAGTGCCTGCTGGCTTGTAGACTTGATGGTACCCTCTAAATAAAAGTGGGAGTGTAAGGCTATCCAGTGGCACACTCTTAGAATGGACACTCCTGTGTCCTGTCTCCTCATTTGAAAAACCCCACATGTTGTTTTTCTAGTAGGCAATCATTGTACAGCTTTAAATATTTCATATTCTCCGCAATTGTGTCTGCCCTTACAAAACAATAATTTATACATTCTTTCTCTTTTATGCATTCATTCAGTCAGTATTTATTGAGCATGTAATACACACCAAGCTCAGTTCTAATTCTTAAGTTTCGGAAAATATATAATTCCTGTCTGAATGGGCTTTGAGTGAAATTAAAAAGACACAGTTTAAAATCCTAATTACAATGCAAAAGAGTCTGTGTTACTATAGTGAAATGTGCTGTGCTTTAATTAGGAATGTGCATTTAATCCAGGCCCAGTATTTTATCTGGAAAAGCTTCCTAGAGGAAGTAGCACTTGAGCTGAATATGTGTGGTGCAATGTTCTCAGGCTGGTATTCAGTCCCTAAAGTAAACTTATTGTATTTAGTACTTAGTAAAATTTTTCCTTTATTGTCTTAATTTACTGGGTCAATTAAAATAAGTACTTGGTTCTTTAGAAAGCCCTCTTGATGGTATTAAAACATGAACTAAGCTTTGCTGCCCTTTCCAACCCCTTTGGATTTACAGATAGGGGATTCATTAAAGAAGAGGAAATCTGGCATATGTATGCTGGCAAAGAACTAGAGAGAAATGAAAGAAACTCCTGGATGCCAGGCCAAGAAATGAGCTATCAGTGACCCAGAAACTCTTAGATGATTCTAAGTCAGTACCTAATCTTTACACTCACTGCACAGTTTCTTCTCATCAGAAGAGGAGATAATTAGAGAGTGGTCAGTTCCTCATACTTTCTTAAATAAAATTTTCTAGGATTTGTCTATTTTTATATTACAGCTACCAGGAAAATACAATGTTGTCATTTGATGAAATCAACCAGTATAAAAGATAATTAATTTTATGCTACATTTTCTTAATTTAAATCAGAAATGAAATCACACTTTCTTAAGGTGTTTGGCCTAATCTGGGACACCTACATCCCATGTCAAAGTGTTATGGTTTGGCTCCAAATCCAGTTTCTGTTTCCCAGTCCAGCTTCTTTCTGATACGCACCCAGGGAAGCAGCAGCAGAGGGCTCAAGTAACTGGATCGCTACTACCTATGTGAGAGGCTGAGACTGAGTTCACAGTTCATGGCTTCAGCCCGGTCTATTGTCAGCCATTGCAGGCATTTGGAGAGTGAACAACAGATGGGACTCTCTCTATACCTTCTCTTCCCTCTCCCTCTCCCTCCCCCTCTCCATACCCCTCTCTCCCTCTCTCATTCCATTCCTGTTTCTGACTGCTTCATTTCCAATGGAGCTCCTTGCTTGTGTACCTGGGAAAGCAGTGGAGAACAGTCCAGATGCTTCCACCGCTGCACCCATGTTGGAGACATGGAGGAAGCGCCTGGCTCCTGGCTTTGGACAGGTCCACAATTCCCCACCATTATTGGCTTTGGGAGAGTGCACAAGTGGATAGAAAATCTCTGTCTTTATCTCTCTGGCTTTGCCTTTCAAACAGATGAATAAAATCATAAAAACAAAACAACAATACTTATTATACAGTCACCTCTAGCTGTGAAAGAATAGTTGTAGCTGTTTTCATCTCTGAACTCAAGGTATGTTTGGCAGGAGCAGAAGCAATGAGATTTGCTAGTGATGCACACACAAAAATTGAATAAAGCAAGGAGTAAGAAGGAATCCTAGATTTTCAACCTGAGAAAATTTGCAGGTGATTTTTAAAAATTCTGCTCCTTTTTGCCTGGTTAATATCATATTTTATATGACACTAAGAAAATGAACTAGTTTTGTGGTGAGATTGTGAACAAGTTAACATGCAAAACAAAATAAAACCACGTGAGAGTCAGGGTTCTTGTTCACTTTTATCTTTTCCATAAAATCAGGATATAATCTTTTACTGTGCCAAAGGAAAAAAATGAAATTACCTGTAATATTTATCTTCCTTTTCAGATAAGACTTTAGTCTTGAGAGTATAGGCATGCTAATGCAACTTAATGAAATGTGTTTTGATTCATCCAATTTAACTGATACTAGTATTGAATTGGACTACAGTACCGAATACACTCGTGTAATACAGCAATCTATTACTGAGGTATAAATCTTATATTCTCCATCTCAAAAAAAAAAGAAAATGTTTCATAAAATGGCCAAATTTGTGATGCAACTGATAATAATGAAATTAGAATAAAAGTTGTGAAAATGTGTGATGCATTAATCACTTAACTTTAAAGCAAAGGATAACTCTTATTCCATTTACAAATAAAGAAAATGAGGCTCAGAGAAACTGGGTAGATTATCAAAATTAATAAATTACAGGGCTGTTTCAAGACACAGTGCTCAGTCTTCCAAGAGGCATATAAAAATTATCACTGAGGAAATGTTAATTCTAAAGCTTAGAAATTTCATTGAAAGTATCAATTTAGTAGTTTCCCGAAGCCAAGACCTACTGTTATTGAAATCATCTTTAAGCTCTATTTTTAAAAGAATTATTTATTCATTTCTTGAAAGGCAGTCAGAGAGAGAGAGACAGAAAGTGAGTACAAGGGAACTTCCATCTCCTGATTAACTCTCCAAATAACTGCAACACACCAAGGGATTGACCTGGCTAAAGCTAGGATCCAGGAACTCCATCTGGGTCTTCCACATGGGTGACAAGGGCCAGGTTCTTGGTCCATCATCCCTTGCCTTCCCATGCACTTTATCAGGAAGATGGATCTGATACAATATGCCAGAGCTGCAAGTGATGACTTAGCTCACTGAGCCACAACACTGGCTTCCATGAACCTCTTTTCAAGAACTATAAACAAGAACAGAGTTGTTTTCCTTCAGATTTATGTTTTATTAAATCTGGGGTTCAATAAATTACTCAATTCTTTTGGTAAGATACGTCAGGAAAGAACTGGCTTTCTCCTCATTCCACTCCTTTTTTATTTTCATTATTTTCTTCTACCCTGGTAAGAGCCATCTGTGTATAAATTTTGTTCAACTGAGGTAACTCTATCTTCATTAATGAGAGTTCTAGGAAACACTGAGAAGTAAGCTGACATTTTTCATGACCAATGTCCAACTGATCTCTTATGATACCAGTAATTCCCTTTTTTCAACTTTTATTTAATAAATATAAATTTCCAAGTACAACTTTTGGTTTTGGATTATAGTGACTTTTCCCCCATAACCTCCTTGCCACCTGCAACCACCCCATCTCCCAATCCCTCTCCCACCCCATTCTTCATCATGATTCGTTTTCAATTATCTTTATATACAGAAGATAAACTTAGTATATACTAAGCAAAGATTTCAACACAGACACACAAAGTATAGAGTACTGTTTGAGTAGTAGTTTTACCATTAATTCCAATAGTACAACACATTAAGGTCAGAGATCCTACATGGGGAGTAGGTGCACAGTGACTCCCTTTGTTGATTTAACAATTGACACTCTTATTTATGATGTCAGTCATCACCCAAGGCTCTTGTCATGAGCTGCCAAAGCTATGGAAGCCCTTTGAGTTCACAAACTCTGATCTTATTTAGACAAGGCCATAGTTGAAGTAAAAGTTCTCTCCTCCCTTCAGAGAAAGGTACCTCCTTCTTTGATGGCTTGTTCTTTCCACTGGGATCGGGATCTCACTCACAGACTTCATTCATTTAGGGTTTTTTGTTTGTTTGTTTTTTTTTTTTTTTTTTTTTTTGCCAGTGTGTCTTGGCTTTCCATACCTGATAAATTTCCATGGGCCTTTTAGCCAGATCTGAATGCCTTATGGATTGATTCTGAGGCCAGAGTGCTTTTTATGGCATCTGCCATTCTATGAGTCTGCTGTGTATCCCACTTCCCATGTAGGATCATTCTCTCCTTTTTAATTCTATCAGTTAGTATTAGCAGACACTAGTCTTGTTTATGTGATCCCTTTGACACTTAATCCTATCATTATGATCAATTATGAACTGAAACCAATCACTTTGCCTGGTAAGATGGCATTGAAACATGCCACCTTGATGGTGTTGATTTGGAATCCCCTGGCACGTTTCTAGCTCTACCATTAGGGGTAAATCTGAGTGAGCATGTGCTGAACTGTACATCTCCTCCCTCTCTTATTCCTACTCATATTTAACAGGGATCACTTTTCAGTTAAATTTAAAATACTAAGAATAATTGTGTATAAATTAAAGAGTTCAATCAATGCTATTAAGTAGAACAAAAAATATTAAAAGGAATAAAATAGTAAGTTGTTCCTTGACAGTGAGGAAAAGGGCATATCAAGGCATTGCTTCTCATAGTGTCAGTTTCACTTCTACAAGTTTCCTTTTAGGTGCTCAGTTGTCACAGATCAGAACGAACATATGATATTTGTCCCTTTGGGACTGGCTTAATTCACTCAGCATGATGTTTTCCAGATTCCTCCATTTTGTTGCAAATGACCAGATTTCATTTTTTTACTGCTGTATAGTATTCTTTAGAGTACATATCCCATAATTTCTTTATCCAGTCTAGTGTTGATGGGCCTTTAGGTTGATTCCAGGTCCTAGCTATTATTAATTGAGCTACAATAAACATTGAGGTGCAGACAGCTTTTTTGCTTGCCAATTTAATTTCCTTTGGGTAAATTCCAAGGAGTGAGATGGCTGTGTCATGTGGTAGGGCTGTATTCAGTTTTCTGAGGAATCTCCAAACTGTATTCTATAGTGGCTTTACCAGTTTGCATTCCCACCAACAGTGGGTTAGTGAGCCTTTCTCCCCACATCCTCGCCAGCATCTATTGTTAGTTGATTTATGTATGCAAGCCATTCTAACTGGGTGAGGTGAAACCTCATTGAGGTTTTCATTTGCATTTCTCTAATGGCTAATGATCCTGAACATTTTTTCATGTGTCTGTCTGAAAAATGTCTATATAGTTCCTTGGCCCATCTCTTAAGTGGGTTGTTTGTTTTATTGTTGTGGAGTTTCTTGATCTTCTGTAGATTCTGGTTATTAAACCTTTATATGTTGCATAATTTGCAAATATTTTTTTCCCATTCTGTCAGTTGCCTCTTCACTTTCCACCAGTCATTCCTTTTGCCACTCATCCATATGTGATAACATCAATACCTATCTCAGGAAGGACTTTAGTTAAAGCCAATGTATTAATGTAAAAAGAATGCATTATATGTGTTTTAATAGATATCAAAAAATTTAGCCCCAGAGAAATTCTCAATTATGGAATTTAGGACTTGGAAAGGTGGCACAAGCTCATTGGGAACTGGCATGCAAAGCAGATGGTAGTGTCCTAGACATTTTCCCATTCCCTTTAAAATCAACAGTCAGTACAAGTTAAATCCCTTAAAAGTAAATGAGGTGCTGAGGATTTTAAAGTGCAGATATAGGCCCCCCACTGTTAACAGAAGCTTTACTAACACATGGAATACTAGGTCAACTATGATAATTATTTTTTTAAAAACCTGAATCCACTTCTTCATCAGCCATCTCATTAATTAGCAAAATATTATGAAATAAGCTTTAGGAGAAAGTATCTTCACTGAAACATCTATAATAAAAATACAAATTTAATCTCATATGCTAAGGAAAACCTCAAAGTGATTCATCACTACGTTCATGGACTCTTGAATTAGTTTTCCCTCCATCTCTGTTTCATTTTTTCTAGTTTTCCTCTTCTTGCTCCTGCTCAGGCAGGGGCCTTCCTTGCAATGCCTAGTCTAAGTTCTTACACTGCTGATGGCAGGAGTTGTTCTAATAGTTATAAAGAGATTGGCTGCTTGACCTGGGGCCTGACAGAAGGAAGATTAAAAGATACAGGCCAGGTATTTGGGGAAAAGAGACAACAGGATAGAAGTATAAGGATAGACAAACATATGAAGATCTTTAATCACATGTGAATTCCAACCAGAGAATATTTACAGTAGAAGAGGCAATAAAGGACCAAGATATAATACATTTTAGAATAAGGATACATGCATTTCAGGAATATTTAACAAACATATACTACAGATAACCATCATTTTCTACCACACCTTAGAGCTTTACTTGATAGACATCTGAGTGCACAGCTGTAGGCACACATGACATTTAAATATCTATAAGTGTTTTCAAAGAATATTTTGTTAAGCATATTTTTATTTATTGGAGGGAAAGCTAACAATCAGAGATTTAGTAGGGCACATAATTTTTCTTCATTTTTTAAAATATTTACTTATTTATTTGAAAGTCAGAGTCACAGAGAGAAAGAAATAGGGAGAGGGAGAGAGAGAGCAAGAGAGCGAGCGCTTCCATCTGCTGGTTCACTCTTCATATAGCCACAACAGCCCAGGGCTGGGCCAGGCCAAAGACAGGAGCCAGCAGCTTCATCCAGGTCTCCCACATGTGTGGCAGGGGTCCAAGCACTTAGGCTATCTTCTGCTTTTCCTTGTCCCAGGACACTATCAGGGAGCTGGATCAGAAGTAGAGCAGCTGGGACAGGAACTGGTGCCCATATGGAATGTAGGCTTCACAACGGGAGGTTTTACCAGCTCTGCTACAATGCTGGCCCTTGTCCCTTTTTAAGCATTTTTTTTTTTTTGACAGGCAGAGTGGACAGTGAGAGAGACAGAGAAAAAGGTCTTCCTTTGCCGTTGGTTCACCCTCCAATGGCCGCCACGGCCGGTGTGCTGCGGCCGGCGCACCGCGCTGATCCGAAGCCAGGAGCCAGGTGCTTCTCCTGGTCTTCCATGGGGTGCAGGGCCCAAGCACTTGGGCCATGCTCCACTGCACTCCTGGGCCACAGCAGAAAGCTGGCCTGGAAGGGGGGCAACCGGGACAGAATCCGGCGCCCCGACCGGGACTAGAACCTGGTGTGCCGGCGCCACAAGGCAGAGGATTAGCCTAGTGAGCCGTGGTGCCGGCCAAGCATGTTTTAAGATTATGTCTGAGGCAAGTGTTTAGCCTAATATTTAAAACACCAGTTCAGATGTCCATGTCCCACCCTAGAGTTCCTGGGATTGATACTTAGTTGCAGCTCCCAATTCCAGTTTCCTGCTGATACAGATAAGAGGTGGCAGAGAAGATGGTTTAAGTAATTGGGTTTCTGCTCATCACATGGGAAACCTGGATTGTGTCCCTGGCTGCTAGATTCTGGCCTAGCCCTGGCCATTCCAGGCATTTGGGAAGTGAATCAACATCAGCAGATGGTAATTTCTCTCTCCCTCTTGCATTCAAAAATACATATTTTCATAAAAAAAGAGTATACCTGCTTGCTTGTTGATGCATTTAACACCAAAGCATCAGAAGGTTTTAGAAGTATCAAATACATTGCCTTTGTACACTCACTTATGCACACTGTCCCCTGTGTACTCACAATGTTATAGCCCCTTCAAAGAGAAAGAAAACATCAAGCAACATAGAATTACATGTGGGAAACTGCATGCAAGTTACATACTTTAGCATTTTATAGAAAGGAAATATTACTGAGGAAATGGTTAGGAAGCTACTCCCAGTAGCCTAGTTTAAACCAATATACTGTCTCTCATGAATGATTTCTGTAGCACCCTGCTTGATCTTGCAGCACCTACATTTGCTGTCCTATAGTTTTTTCTTTCCATGCCAACCAGAGGAACAATTTTTCAAAATCTCAAGGCAAATTGTCTTACTGTCCAACACTAAACTCCAAAAGGCTTCCCTTTCAGATTCAGATTAAAATGCAAAATTCATATTACAGCTTTGAATGGCCTACCACTTTCTCCCACTGCCTCTCTGGTCTATTATCCATCTGTTCTTTGTCACTTTTGATCCACTACGTTTGCTTCCTTGCTAGCCTTTAAACATCCCAAGTGGATTCTTATCGTAGGCCCTAGACACTCAATTCCTGGTTCCTCTTTATAAAAAAGAAAAAGCCTTTAACATATGGTAACAATTTAGCTGATTCCACTTTACTTGGATCTGGATTTCAATACTACCTCCTGAGAGAGGACTTCCAGGAAAACTGCATCTGAAATTATAGCCCTATGTACTTTTAGTCCCTTTACCTTGCTTTATTATGCTTTACAGCATTTATTACTGTTTTGAATGCTTTGTATTTATGCCTTCCCACTAGAATTTCTGCCTTATAAGTGCAGAGATTTTATTTATTTTCTTCATTGCTGACTATCTAGGATCTAAAATAGGCCTTGGCATATAGTAGGTAATTTATAACAGTTTAGTGAATATGTGAATTTATTACTTCAATTCTTTCAAAACCCAATGAGACAGGTAGTAATCCACATTGTACTAGAGGGAAATTGCTCACAGAAATATTAAGTAGCTTTCCCACTATCAATAGCTAATAAGAATTATAATTCAGATTTATACACGGCTAAGAGCCTGTGTTTTTAATGGCCATTTTATACTGCCTTGCCAGGGTGAGATTGAACTAACGGAGGTATAAATGAGCAGAAGTTGCATATTAGGA